CTGGACTGTGCCTGGACAGTGGACCCTGGGTGCTTTCCTTGCTGCATGCCACTGCCGTGAGTGCGTGGTAAACTAGCTCAGCAGCTCCAGAACAGCCCTGTTCACGAAAACACACGTGCGATTTTACACTTTCCAGTAGCCTCCTTAACGAAGGTAGAAAACGGCTGGGTGTTGTGGCGCAGGAGCTTCAACTACTGCGTAGGATGCCTGCATCCCATCAGAGTGCTGATTTGAGTTCTGGCTGCTCCATTTCCCATCCAGCTTCTTGTTAATGTGGCTGGGTGACAGCCAGTGATGGCCCAAGTACTTGGGTTCCTGCCACCCACATGAGAGACCTGGATTGAGTTTCTTGCACATGGCTTTTGCCTGGCTCATCTGTGGCTGTTGCAGGCCTTTGGGGAGTGAACTAGCAGATAGAAGATCTATGTCTCTTCCTTTTGCTCTGCCACTCTGCCTTTTGTTTACTTACATACATACATAAATGCATAAATAAAACTTTTAAAAGTGGAAATCAGTTGGAAATCAATTTTAATATATTTTATTAAATACATATGATATTCTAACATTCCAATGTAATCAATATAAAATGATTAATGTACATTATTTTTTCATATCAAGTGTTCAGAATCTGATGTGTATTGTACACATACAGTGTGCTTCACTTGTATTAAAATCTTCCCAAGAGTGTTATGAGCTTCTTGTGAGTAGCCTGTGTATTGGCCGATATAGTTCTAGAATCAGGCTTCCAGATGGGATTGTTTGATTAACCAAACCCGAGGCTGATTCCCTTTACTTACCTGGGAAACTGGGCGGCACAGGAGGCATGTGTTCACTCTGGCGATGTATCTCTTTCCTGTTTTGTGCCTCTGACTCCTCTCCTGCCCCCTCTTCAAGAATTGATGTTCATCAGGGTTCCTGTCTTGGCTGTTTGATCATCCTTTTTGGCTCTTTGAGCCATCTGTCCTTTGGTATGCTGGTGACTTGCATATCTGTATTTCTTTCCCTATCATTTCTCTAGTTTTGTAGCCGTGCATTCATTTCTTGTCAGCACATAGCCAGTTTCAGGTCCCACAGGCCTCTCCCACTCAGCATTTCCCAGTCTGAACTTACCATCCGTCCTTTAAACCTGCGGTTCCTCCTCTGACCCCAATCTCATTTAGTGGGACCAGTGTGTAACCATCACCCAAAATAGCCGGGGTGCATTTTTTTCCCTTTTCTGAAAATTGAAAGTGCAAACTTGACCATTATTGTTTGAGCCATTGTTATTTCCTGGGCATCTTTTATAGAACTATGTGGAAACCTCATAACTGGTCTCCAGCCATCTGGTTTATTTTTCTCTCTTTGCTTCTTACCTGTCTCTTCCCTCTGTCCCCTAGCTGTCGTATGCACTGCAGCTGGACTGATCTCTCTAAACACAGGTTATCATTCTTCTGCTTAAGTGTGTGCATTTGCTCCCATTGTGAAATAAAGCTCAAAATCCATATATGGCATGGAGGCATACCTTGTCTGTCTGTCCAGTCTCACCTCCCTTTACAGCTGTCCTTGCTCTTGGACTTGGCACTTCGGTAATATGGGTCTCCTGCTTTTCCCAGGCCCTTTGCCATCTTTCTTGCCAGCAGATTCTGCCTCAGTTGGGAGGCTCTGTGAAGGAATAATCTCTGCAGGTTTCCCTTAGTCTGGTTGGACTAAATTTCCCTCCTGCCGTGTTTCCCATGATCTTGTCTGTACATCTTTTTTTTTTTGGAAGGGGTAGAGGGGAGCTTTGTGTTGCTGGTTTTATCTCTGTGTGTGTGTGGGGGGGTTCTTGGAGCTTAGGCCATCATCTTACTGCTTTTTGCCTTGGAGAGTCTGTGTAGTGTGTGGGTCAATCAGCATTTTTTTGTTAACTGACGTAGGCAGATTTGAAGGGAGAGGGGGTGGCTCAAATTGCAGACATCTCTATGATCCAAATGCTTGATGAATGAAGAAATAGAAATCAAATTGTACTGTTGCATAAGTCTTAGGAGAAAAATAACTCCAGCTAATGAATTCTTTGTTACAACAGCGTTTGTGGTGGGGCTGCATCATCATAGAGCATTGGTACTTTTTAGTTTCTAGAGGTGATAAGCCGGTGTTAACTCACTCTGACATCAAAAATCACATCACATATCATCCTTGACCCTTTTTCTTGCAGTATTGAGATTTAGTTCTGTTCTGTGCCTACTCTGCTCTTGGTTAGGCTAATACCAAAGAGAGATTTGCTGATGTTTTCACCAAGAGCAAGGATTAGCAGTCTAGTGCATATTTTTGCAAATAAAGTTTTATTGGCACATAGGGAAATCACTCATTATATGTTATTTTTTGTGACTGCTTTTGTGCTGTAGCAGAAGAGTTCAACAGTGTGCCAGAGACCACGTGGTTTGCCAAGTGTGCAGTATTTTCTGTTTGGTCTTACACATCAAGAGTTTGCCAACCCTTGCCTTCTGTGGAAACATTTAAATTTGGAAATACAGAGCCATATGTAATATCCAGCTTGAGGAGTAATCTCTGATTAGGAATCAGGAGAATACAGATTAAAAAGGACAAACCTCTTTGAATCTGTGACTCATGTGGTCTATTTGTTTTGTTTGTTTTCCTGTTTTTTTTTTTTTTTTTTCATTTTATTACATGTGCTGCTGAAGAAAGATTGTCCAGATTTCTTTGCCTGAAACACATACAAGGAGAACTTTAAAAGGTTCATGGAAAATGAAATTAAAAGATACTTAATTTAGTAAAAGTTTTTGAAATTGGTACATATAGGGTTCTCAAAAAGTTCATGAAAAGTTCATGTTATAAAAAAACTATGCATGGGTTTCAAAGGCTTTTTGCATCAAAGTAAACATTTAATTCCATTTTCTATAAACTTTTTGAAATACCTTTGTGTATTTGTCTTGTGTAGGATTTTTTTAAAAAGATGTATTTATTTATTTTGGAAGTCAGAGTTAGAGGAAGACACACACACACAGATATATATGTATTTTTTTTTGACAGGCAGAGTGGACAGTGAGAGAGAGAGACAGAGAGAAAGGTCTTCCTTTTGCCATTGGTTCACCCTCCAATGGCCGCCGGTGTGCTGCGGCCGGCGCACCGCGCTGATCTGATGGCAGGAGCCAGGTGCTTCTCCTGGTCTCCCAAGCAGGTGCAGGGCCCAAGCACTTGGGCCATCCTCCACTGCACTCCCAGGCCACAGCAGAGAGCTGGCCTGGAAGAGGGGCAACTGGGACAGAAACTGGCGCCCTGACCAGGACTAGAACCCAGTGTGCTGGCGCTGCAGGCGGAGGATTAGCCTATTGAGCCATGGCGCCGGCCAACAGAGATCTTCTATCCACTGATTCACTCTCCAGATTGCTGCAACAGCCTGTGCTGGGCCAGACTGAAGCCAGGAGCCAGGAGCTTCCTCCAGGTTGGTGCAGGGGCCCAAGTACTTGAGTCATCTCCTGCTTTTCCCAGGCCATTAAAAGGGAGCTGGATCAGAAGAGGAGCAGTTGGAGCTTGAACTGGCACCTACACAGGATGCCAGCATCACAGAATATGGCCTTACTTGCTTCGCCACAACATGGCCTGTGTCAGTTTTTAAGTTAACCCATTCAACCCCCCTACCCAATCTTTTGACAACTTGCACCAAGTCTATGTAGTCATCCCTCAGTATTCATGGGGGATTTGTTCTAGGAACCCAGAAGATGGAAGATCTCTTTGTCTTTCCCTCTTTCTTTCTATCACTTTGCCTTACAAATACATACTTTTTAAGAAAGATTTATTTACTTGAAAGGCAGAGTTAGAGAGAGAGATCTTCCATCCTCTGGTTCACTCCCCAAATGGCCTCAACAGTTGGAGCTGGGCTGATCCACAGCCAGGAGCTTCTTCTGGGTCTCCTAAGTGGGTGCAGGGGCCTAAGCACTTGGGGCATCCTCTGCTGCTTTCCCAGGCACATTAGCAGGGAGCTGGATCGGAAGTAGAGCAGCCAGGACTCAAACCCGTGTCCATATGGGATGCTGACATCACAGGCAGTGACTTTTCCTGCTAAACCACAGTGCCGGCCCCCATCACAGGCAGTGACTTTTCCTGCTAAACCACAGTGCCGGCCCCCATCAAATAAATAATTTTTTAAAAAGGCTATTTTGGCCGGCGCTGCGGCTCGCTAGGCTAATCCTCCGCCTAGCGGCGCCGGCACACCGGGTTCTAGTCCCGGTTGGGGCGCTGGATTCTGTCCCGGTTGCCCCTCTTCCAGGCCAGCTCTCTGCTGTGGCCCGGGAGTGCAGTGGAGGATGGCCCAAGTCCTTGGGCCCTGCACCCCATGGGAGACCAGGAGAAGCACCTGGCTCCTGCCTTTGGATCGGTGCGGTGCACTGACCGCAGTGCGCTGCCCCAGCGGCCATTGGAGAGTGAACCAACGGTAAAGGAAGACCTTTCTCTCTCTTTCTCTCACTGTCCACTCTGCCTGTCCAAAAAAAAAAAAAAAAAAAAAGCAGTCTTCTAAAAGTTAATGGAGGGGCCGGCGCCATGGCTCACTTGGCTACTCCTCTGCCTGCAGCGCTGGCATCCCACATGGGCATCGGGTTCTAGTCCTGGTTGCTCCTCTTCCAGTCCAGCTCTCTGCTGTGGCCGGGGAAGGCAGTGGAGGATGGCCCAAGTGATTGGGCAGCTGAACCCGCGTGGGAGACCAGGAGGAAGCACCTGGCTCTTGGCTTCAGATCGGCATAGCTCCGGCTGTGGCGGCCATTTGGGGAGTGAACCAGCGGAAGGAAGACCTTTCTCTCTGTCTTTCTCTATCTAAATCTATCTGTAAAAAAAAAAAAAAAAAAAAGTTAATGGAAAACAAATGTATTACAAAAAATATTCCTGAATTTTATGATATATTCATTCTATTTTCTGTGGATTTTGAAGTATCTTTACACTATTTTTTACTATATTTTTATGAAAATATTTCAACATTTATTTTAATTATTTATTTTTTAAATTATAAAATAATTTATGTGTTTTAGGTAGCCTGTCTGATTCGAGTTCCTTCTGAAGTTGTTAAACAGAGGGCACAGGTATCTGCTTCTACCAGAACATTTAAGATTTTCTCCAACATCTTACGTGAAGAGGTAAGATTGGTTTTTCAGCCCTTTTTCTTTATTAAGATTTTATAAGTAACTATTACAAGCCTTGTGTTCTTACCTCTGGAGCCCTAAATAAAACCTTAGAGCTAAATTTAATATCTAATGATAGTAATATTTTTGCTAAGATTATCTTTGCTTTTTCCTTATTTGTTTTTGAATATTTTTTTCACCTTTCAAAACCAACACAGAGTGTGACTACTGCTTGTATGTCCTGAATTGTAATTTTCCTTTTAGAATCAGATACTGAACAAATTGTAAATATGTAATGTGAATAATGATATTAAATCATCACTACAGAATTTGAGGGCCCCAAAGAGAAATGCAGTAATGGACTGGTAACACTGGCCAGCATCATAATGTTAATATCAGAATTTAAGTCCTCATTTGCTCATTGGTGTTAAGATCAAAAATTATTCTCCTGGGCTATGTGACTAGGTAGTACCTAACTGCTTTCCTTTATATATATATATATATATATATATATTTTTTTTTTTTTATACAGAAGCCTTTTTGTAAAAGTAGGAATCTATCAAATGGACATTTAAATGAATCTAAATTTTAAAAAAGTCATTCTTAATGATCTGACACCTAGGTGAGGGGACATCAGATATAGATATATAAATGAGATCAGTCCAGTGTGGGGTCCCTGTTGAGGTATGTCATTGTTTAAATAGGTAAATCAGAGCCTATCTGGGAGTATTTAATGCTGTTGAGAATGTTAAAGAATTTCTGATGTTTAAAGCCATGAAATATAAATTTGTTTTATATGTTTTTGGAAATATATTTAAAGAATCTTAAATGTTCTTTCCAAGATGTTGAGTAATAGCAACAAAAACTAAATTAATATGTAGTGAATTTTTTTTTTAAAAGGATTTATTTATTTATTTGAAAGAGTTACAGAGAGAGGTGGAGAGAAAGAGAGAGGGGTCTTCTATCTGTTGGTTTATTCCCCAAGTAGCCGCAACGGCCAGGGCTGGGAAAGGCCAAAGCCAGGTGCTCTATATAGGTCTCCCATGTGGGTGGCAAGGGGCCAGACGCTTTGGGCACCTTCTTGTGCTTTTCCCAGGCCATTAGCAGGGGCCTAGATCGGAAGTGGAACAGCCAGGACACAAACCGGTGGTGCCCCTATTGGTTGATGGCATTATAGGCAGCAGCTTTACTCACTGTGCCACAACACTGTAGTGAGTTTTATCATTAGAGATTCTCCATTTTAAAGGGAGCTAACCTGAGCCTCTGTACCATGGGCTGGCTTCTAGTTTTTTCTGTTTTTAAGATTTATTTTATTTATTTCAAAGGCAGAGTTGGATGGAAGGAGAGACAGATAAAGGCATCTTCCATCCACTGGTTCCTTCCCAAATGGTTGCAATGGCTGAGGCTGGGCCATGCTGAAGCCAGAAGCCTGGAACTCTGTTTGGGTCTGTCTTATGGGTTGCAGGGCTCAAATACTTGGGCCTTCTGCTGCTTTCGCAGGTGCATTATCAGGGAGCTGGATTGGAAGTAGAGCAGCTGGGACCCAAAACAGTACCCATATGGGATGGCAGCATCACAGACAGTTGCTTAACCTGCTGTGCCACAGTGTCTGCCCCTGGTTTTAAAACTTTAACCTCGGCTCACTAGGCTAATCCTCCGCCTTGCATCGCCGGCACCCCGGGTTCTAGTCCCGGTCGCGGCACCGGATTCTGTCCCAGTTGCCCCTCTTCCGGGCCAGCTCTCTGCTGTGGCCTGGGAGTGCAGTGGAGGATGGCCCAAGTACTTGGGCCCTGCACCCCATGGGAGACCAGGAGAAGTACCTGGCTCTTGCCATTGGATCAGCACGGTGCGCTGGCCGCAGCGCGCCGGCTGCAGCGGCCATTGGAGGATGAACCAACGGCAAACAAAGACCTTTCTCTCTGTCTCTCTCTCTCACTGTCCTCTCTGCCTGTAAAAAACAAACAAACAAACAAAAAACAACAAAAACCTTTAACCTCTTAAAATATTGTAGTAATTGTGAACATTTTAGTGAACTTCGGTGTAGATAAATCTTCTTTATTCAGAATGTTATTCAGAATGTTATTCAGAAATCTTTGCTGTTCTTCCCTTTTTTTTTTTTTTTTTAATAAGAGTTATTTATTTATTTGAAAGAGTTACACAGAAAGAGAAGAGACAGAGAGAGAGGTCTTCCATCTGCTGGTTGACTCCCTAATTGGCTGCAGTGGCCAGAGGTGCTCCGATCTGAAGCCAGGAGCCAGGAGCTTCTTCCAGGTCTCCCACGTGGGTGCAGGGGCCCAAGCACTTGGGCCATCTTCCACTGTTTTCCCACGCCATAGCAGAGAGCTGCATTGGAAGTGGAGCAGCCGGGACTTGAACTGGCACCCATATGGGATGCCTGCACTGCTAGGCAGCGGCTTTACCCGCTACGCCACAGCGCTGGCCCCTGTTCTCACTTTGTGAACTCTTGGCTTTTTGTTTGTTTCAGGGCATCCAAGGATTATATCGAGGTTACAAAAGCACAGTTTTAAGAGAGGTAAGTTGCTTAATTTCCACTATTGAGAGACAAAAAAATGATGTACTGTATTCAGTAGGTTTATTCTTCTTAACAGTCAAAAATACATTTGGAGAAACTAGTTTAAAAACTGAGAAAGAATTTGCGGTCAATGTTTTAAATTCTGCTGAGGCTGTCTTGTTTCCTGTATCTAAAGGAATGGAAGAATGGGTTTACTGGCTGCGCAGTGCCAGTGTTTAGAGTGACCCAGCTTGCAGACTACTTGTTATTCTTGGTGGCTGAGTCTCTTGTGGCTGGAATATTAGGATACCAAGGTAATTACTGTGATATGGAGAATTAATGAAAAGTTAGTAAGGAACGAAACAAAAACCTTCACAGTGTGCATCGGGCAGTTGGCTCCTGCCGTGAGCAGTTCTGTCAGGACGTGCTGGGCAGTGTGTTGTGGGGCTAATTGCTGGCCTCCTCTGTGCTGCTGATTCTAAGCTTCTGGGGTTCTCGGTGTGGGAAATTGTCTCTGTCTCTCTCTTTTTTTTCTTTTTTGGTTGAAAAAGCAAAACTTTTCCATAAATAAATAATTAGGGCAGGAAGTGTATTTTAAATCTTTGCCTCACATTGCAAATGTCTGAAATTCAAGAAATGTTTTTTAGATAAGTGTGAAATAAGAGAAATTTTTGATATGGAACTTAATTTCCTATTAAAATTCAAATGAGAACCTGCACGTGTTTCTTCTACATCTCTCTTTCCTATTCAGAGTTCTGTGGACAAAATATATATATATTTCATTTGCACAAAAAGATTTCTGAAGATTTATGTATTTCAAAGGCTGAGTTACAGAGAGAAAGGGAAAGACAGAAAAGAGATTTTCCATCTGCTGGTTTGCTCCCCAGACAGTTAAAATGGTTGGGGCTGGACCAAGTGGAAGCCAGGAGTCTGGAACTCATTCCAGGTTTTCCACATGGATTCAGGGGCCCAAGGACTTGGCGCTTTTTTTTTTTTTTTTTTTTTTCTGCTTTCCTAGGTGCATTAGCACAGAGCTGGATTGGAAGTGGAGCAGCTGGAACTTGAATCAGTAATCATGTGGGAAGTCAGTGTTGACTCACTATGCCTGCCACAAAGCCAGCTCCTGTAAAAATGCTTTTAATTGAAATAAATATTGTCTACACTGGAAGAATGTTGAAATTCTTTGGAAGCCTTCATTTTATATTGAAGTCTTCTTTATTTAACCAACATTTTACATGTGATTTAAGACTTTGATTTCCACAAGGTAACAACCTGTAGTACAGTACAGATTATGTTGGTTTTTAAGGAACTTGTTTTGGTGGCTAACTGAATGTTTGAAAATTAGTTATTTGTATGAGGATGACTTCTGCCTTTTAAAAACACCCACACCATAGCTTCATTCTTTATTTTTGTTTTTTAATTCATTTATTTATTTGAAAGTCAGAGTTACACAGAGAGAGGAGAGGCAGAGAGAGAGAGAGGTCTTCCATCTGCTGGTTCACTCCCCAGCTGGCCACAACGGCCGGAGCTGTGCTGATCCGAAGCCAGGAGCCAGGAACTTCTGGGTCTCCAATGCGGGTGCAGGGGCCCAAGGACTTGGGCCACCTTGTACTGCTTTCCCTGGCCATATTAGAGACCTGGATCAGAAGTGTAGCAGCCAGGTCTCGAGCTGGTGTCCATATGGGATGCTGGCGCTTCAGGCCAGGGCGTTAACCCACTGCTCCACCCCACTGCGCCACAGTGCCAACCCCCACAGCTTCATTCTTACCTTATTTTCTGACTCACTAAATCTGTGTTACTTAGTCTTCACCTGGGTACAGGTAAAGGGTGAGCAGTAAAGTTTTTTTCATTTTTTTGAAAGGCACTGAATAAGTGAATCCATTTACGTGCCAGAGAATGCTGGTGTTGCATACATACAGATAAAACACATGCTTCCAACTGTGTTCAGTCTTTCAAAAATTTGTTTTGACATATGTCATACCGATAATTAATTTCTAGGCTGCGGTCTTTGCATATAGCATGACCTTACTGAGATGACTGTGTTTCCTCAAAATGGCAGTGCTTTGTTGAAAATTTAATTGGAGTCTTCTGCATTATGCGTATTCATAAAAGATCCTTCAGAACCGATTTTAGTTGAGGTATTGCTTTTGTAAAGATTCCCTGATAGAATGAGAGAAGCGTTATTGCTGAATGAAACATAGCTTCTTTCTAAAATGAGAAAAATAAGAAGTGATATATCTGCTTTAGGCAAAATTTTTGCATTATAAACAGTTTGGAATCTTATGTTAGTGTGACACCAGAATCAAATCTTTTTGCTAAGAGCTCATTTGATTGTTTCAATAAGCAAATACATGGAAACCTTAGTAAGAATCACTGGGAACCTTATCTGTTTATTCTGGATGCAATTTTTTCTTTAAAATAGTTTTTATTTCCCTAGCAGTAGCCCATTAGAATGAGATTGGAGTTTGAATCCATGCATTATAAAATAGATTATTTGTGTTCTTTAGATTTTGTGAATGCTGTCATACGTTTTTTACTGCATCTGATGTCTGTGGAGATTGCTTGCTTATCCCCAATGTTCTCCTAAATGATGTTAGTTACTGTGAATTTTAGACTGAGTCTGAGCAAGGTCAGCAGATTATACTGTTTACCTCACCCTTTCAGGATTCATTTTTCTCATGATCTTGGCCAAATTAGTTGTGGTCAAACACTGTTTATTTACTGCAGTAAAAATGCAAGTGCAGAGCAAAATCATAGCTGCTGTCACAGCCAGGATGATTTCAGATGGTCCATTGGCCTGGAAAGTCTAGGGAAAACAGCCTCAGAATCTTGGATGTGAATTTGAAGGGCTTGTATAGAGGGCAAAAAAATAGCAAAAAGCCACTTGTTTGAAAAGAAATAGGAACAAGTTAAGCTCAGTAGATGTCCTTTGTTGATGTTCTACTCAACAGTCGTTTTTCGAATGCCTGCTGCATGTTGGGCACTATGCAGGGCATTCAGGCCCCAAAGGGTTCATATTGTGGGGGAGGCAGCTAGGGAAGTAGATTCTTTACAGTGCCGTGTAGTAAGTACAGCAGTGATGGGTGTACACAAGATGCAGCTGGGATTTTAGAAGCAGCAGTGCTTGAGTGTTACTCAGTTGGCATTGTTCCTTTAATCAGAATGTTTCTTTACCTCATTCTTGAAGGAGTGGCCTTTAGAAATTAGTCAGAGAGATGGATGTAACAGCATGAGCAATGGCACAAAGCACACACGTGTACATCATTTATCTAAGCCGAATTGGGCTTTTCATATATGCATAGTGAACCAGGTGAGGGCACTTGAAGACAACACTCAAAAAGTAGTATTTGTCAGGAGGAGAGGTTGAGTCTGTCACCCTCAGGGGGACCTTTGCCAGGGGACCAGAGAGGAGCAAACGGGAAAAGCCCCTAAAAGAGTCTGATGACTGTCCACTGGAGTTGATAGGAGTAATTTTTGATGTCTCACTCTTGGCTGGGCAAATCTGAAACTAAGAAGTTGGTTGGAGTCGGACCCATGGCAGGAGTTTTTAGTAACCCGTAGCTCCTGGCTTCTTTTTGGTGTATGAGAGCAGCCAATTGGAGAGGATTGAGGATTATCACCTCCACCCTAGTTTTGCTACAAGCTGTCGAACAGGCCATACACATCATTCAACTGCTCTATAAGGTCGTTGACACCTCCAGTCTTTACGTAGAAAACTGACCATTCTGAAAAGTTCCCTAGAAAGTAGGCAGTGGCTTTCTGAATCTGGTTGGGTACTCTTACCATCTTCAGACAAAGAGAATTTTTAAGTGGGACCTAGAAACCTTTAAGGCTGAAGGCTCAAGAAATGCACTTCAAAGTCTGTCTCTGTTCTGTGGTCTGCCCATTCAGTGCATTTCCCCCAGACTTATGTTATGTAAGTCTGCTTTGTGTTTTGCAGAGATAATCCGTCCTGGGTGTTGTGTTTCTTCTTGTTTTTTGGGTTAACACATCTTGGGAATCAATTTTTATCTCTTCATAAAGATCACCCTCTTTTTTATGATTGTATAATGACTGTACTGTACGAAGAGTCATTGAGTATTTACCCAGTTTCCCAGTGTGGGTGTTTTAAAGGTAGTGCAAGAATAATACTGTGCATATGTCATTTTGTACATAGTTGAGTGTATTTGTAGGCTACGTGCTAAGAAATAGAATTACCTGGTTAATGGTGTGGGCATTTGTAATTTTGATAGATAAGAAGAAATTACCCTTCATACAAGTACCAGTTGACACTTGACCCAACAGTGTGGGAGCTCTCTTTTTTTTTCCTTGTCTAACCAGTGGTGCCAGCAATCTAATAGATGAAAAATAATGTCACGGTAGTTTTAATTTTAACACTGGGCATATTAATACATGGCGAAGAACTGGTTTACTTACTGTGAACTATTTCAGTCATTATAACTTGTGAGCATTAAATAAGGGATTCATGTGCTTTTTGCAGTGCCGCCCACAGAATATGTGCTCAAGAAATGTCATGATTCTGAGTATTCTTGGTAACTGAAAGAGTCTTGGACACTGAAGGATATCTTAGTGTGAAATGCAACTCTGCCCATTCATTACCAGCTGACTTCTTTTGGCAAGTTAATCAGTCTTTATCAGCTCAAGTTTGCCCATCTGTGCTAGGAACTTTGCAGAGACTGTTTTTGTAGTGCTCTCGAAGGCAGGTCTTACAGCAGTACAGCCTGCTAGGAGACTCAGAAATTAAACCTACCTTTGAGTTGTTAGATTCCTCAACAGATGGCCGGCGCCACGGCTCACTAGGCTAATCCTCTGCCTTGCGGCGCCGGCACACCAGGTTCTAGTCCCGGTTGGGGCGCCGGATTCTGTCCCGGTTGCCCCTCTTCCAGGCCAGCTCTCTGCTGTGGCCCGGGAGTGCAGTGGAGGATGGCCCAGGTGCTTGGGCCCTGCACCCCATGGGAGACCAAGAAAAGCACCTGGCTCCTGGCTCCTGCCATCGGATCAGCGCAGTGCGCCGGCCGCAG